ACCTAACATAAATTAAAGTATATTCTGGTTGTAAAATCTGACATAAAAATATTTCTTTAGTGAGAATTATTTATAGAGTTATGGCTATTGTTATACAAAACATAGCAAATGGCTTCACAGCTGTGGAAAAGAAAATGATTAAAGGATCTCATGGATTTTTAGTTGATTTTTTTAAAGGGGTTGATGCGGGGAATGAATTTGTGCTTTAGTTTGATTTTTTTTTTTAAACAAACACAGGGTCATCAGGCAGTTCTTCAGGGTATTCTACTAAAACAAGCAAAAACCAAAAGACCAACTGGGAAAAGAAGTTTTACATTTACAGAGGTTGCAGGTCAGCACATTCAGGCAGAAATACAGCCAATACTTTGTCTTATGTCTTTTTTAATACTTGAACATAGAAGTCAAATGCAATGATGTCTTTTCACTTTGTAGTCACAGATGAAGGAGACCAATAAATCACAGAAAGCTGACTTCAATAAGCCTCAAGCTAAGAATCTGTGAATGGTTCACAGAATTACTGGCACAGTTGCCACCTAAAGCAACAAGCATTTCCAGAATCTTTCCAGTTCACCCACTTTTAAAGCTCAACTCTGAAAATTCTTCAACCTCTCTATACTAAAATCCACTGATCTAGCAACCTGTCATAGGTTTTTGATCATTTCACTGCTTCTCTCCTCTTTTCCCAGTTTAAATACCAGGGTCAGCCATTACAATCACCCTCTCCCTTCAGCTCCATATTCCCTCCCTCAAACACTCATCTCCTCTYGGCAGAATAACAATCCTACTTAAATACAATTCTTTGCCTGTCAGGAGCTTGAGTCCACATAAACAAATGAGGCTGAAAAAACAATGAAATGGGCTAAAGCCAAGAGGACTCTAACCTCCAGGTCAGCTTCTCTAAACTTGATGATTCTGGACTCCAGAATCCAGATCTCCCTTTTATAACAGCAGTTACTTAAAACACACACACACACACACACACACACACACACACACACACACCAAACAAACAAACAAACAAAAACTTTTCTCCCTGTCTCCTTGGGAGAACTGGAGCCTAACTTCTGTAAGAGACAAGGAGGGAACAGAGACCCTAATCACATTGAACAGCCTCCTCCCTAGGGTACATCAGCAGTGTCCTCCTCCAGGAATTTTCTGCTTACTAGCTCACCCCAGTGCTTAAATACCCACTCCACCTTTCCTTCCTTTCAGTTCAACCTCTTTCCCCTAATGCAAAAGTTTGGAATAAAACTCTCCTTTGCCTGCTTTACTCAGATGGGGACAGCCACCCTGAAGTGATGCCTTCATGATGCCTGGTAACCATAAAGCTTTTCCCTAGTACATTGTTCTTCCATTTTTCTTGCATTTGTCTTTCCTTCAACCATTCAAACCCTACCCATCCTCATTCTCAGTTGATGCCCTTGCTTTCTATATCACCGAGAAAACAGTAGCTATCCAAAAAGCTTTTCCACAGCTCCAGCCACCCATCAACTCACCTRGGGCATGTGTGCCCAGTCCTCTGCCTTCCCTGTTTCTCTAGGCATGGAGAGCCTGGGCTCTCATGCCTATGCAAGAGGTTATATGAGTGACCTCCTCTGCCTCCTGCTTCCACAATTGTCSTCTGCTCCCACTAGCCCTTCCCACCTGCCAACCCCACTTCTCTACCTGACTTTTCAACAACATTCAAACCAAAGTTTTTGTGACACTTCTTCATACCACTTCCTTCCTTTAGATTTTAAGGCACAAAGTGCTTTTAGTTTTCCTCCAATTTTCACTTGTTCCTCTTCATTCCCTAGTCTCTTATAGTGGAAATAATAAGGCTCAGTAAAAGATTTACTCTGACATTCTCTTCAAACATTCATTCCTCCTCCTCCTCCTGCTCCTCCTCCTCCTCCTTCTCCTCCTCTTCCTCCTCCTCCTCCTCCTCTTCCTCCTCCTCCTCTATTCATAGCTTTCCCTTATTTCCCTTCTGCTACAGGCAGCCATTCATTCACATGTACCTGATTTGTAAAATCCTATTTTTAATGACTTTTAGCAAAATGTATTATTATGCACATATATTTTAATGTGAGTAAATGATAGTTCAGAAACCATCTCTTTGATTAAGTTTTCTCTCAGTGACATGTTTTTAAGATCCATTCATACTTTTATAATAATTGGTTGCTACCTGCTTTAGTGTTCTGCCTTGTACTCATCCACATTTACTCCCCTCTAATGATACCCAGGTAGCCAACAGCTGCCTTCGACTCAAACARTGCTACAGCAAACCATCTATCTGCCAAAGATTCTGAAGCTTCTCATTTCCTGCAACTTATCTCCAGAGTTTCTTGCCTCTTTGCTCCATTTAGTCCCCTCTCCCAGTCTTCTCCATTTTAACTAATAATTCCATCCTTCCCATTATTCATATAAAAAACACAGGGTCATCCTTGATTCCTCTCTTTCTCTTATTCTACCCATCTACTGCAACAATAAAGTTTCTCAGTTTTACTTTCAAAATKAATCAGAATTTGACAATTTCTCCATCTCCTTTTACCACAGTGAACAAAGTAATCATCATTTCTCTTACTGTCATTCCAAGGATTCCTTAATTTTTTCTCAAAAGAGCCGCCATAGCAATCTTCTTAAAAATGTCTGTCCGATAATTGCATTGCTCTACTTAGAATCATCCAATGGCTTCCATCTCACTCAAAGGAAAAGCCAAAATAACTGCAATGGACTAAAAGCAGGTAGATGATTTACCTGCTCCCATACCAGTCTAGGCACACTTTCTCTGGCCCCTTACTCCAATGCCAACTCAGTGACCGTCTTGCTATTCCTTGAACTTCCTAAGGACATTTTTTATAGTACTCTTTCCTTGGACTCAATACCCCTTTACTTATTCAATTGACAACTGTAGTTACACATTCTAATACCTTGAACTCCTTCTACCCACCTTCCCTACTTAAATTCTCCTTAGCATTTATCTCTAGTAAATATACTGTATTCTTCTAATTGATTTTTTTTTCTACTGGGGATCAAACCCAGGACCTCATGTATACTTGGGCTAGGCAAGTGCACTACCACTGAACGATATCCCCAACCCCAAAATTATTTACTCTGTTTACCATCTATCTTCCCTAAGGTTCCACCAAAATAATGTAAACTCCATTAAGATAGGGATTTTTATTTGTTTTTCATTGCTGAATACCAAGTGCCCAAGAGAGTACTGGAAATCTAGGCATACACTAAATTATAGAATAAGCAAAAATAATCAATATGAAATCTGAATTCTAAGAAGGCAGTAAGGGAAATTAATCAAATTAATAGGAAAATAAGATTCAAGTGGGGAAGCATATTCCTAAATCACCCTTTGCTCCAGGGCTGACCATTTGCATATCATTCCACTCTACTTGCCCAATTAAGCTCTGGAATATTCCATAGCAGTATATTAATCGGATCCTGTCCCTATTTCCATTCCTCCTTTTAAACCTTTCTCTGGCTAAGAGGATGAAACCTAAGTATCTCACTGGACCTACTAACTCTGGCAAGTTCTCTTCTCTAGGCACATTTTGCATTTCATTCACCTCCTCCTTTTCCTTTTCTCCCATTTGGTTCCTTCTAATTTAAAACAACGTTTCATATAGCCAACTCCTGCTTAGTCTGCAGATCGAGGTTCATTGTATTCTCCCAGAATCTTTCCATGGCCACCCAGACCATGTCAGTGTCTGTTTTATGGGCTTAGTAGCTCATATTTTTTATTAGCATATAATTCTAATTACTTTTTATGGGGCTGGGTTATTATTATGAATCTCCCTTTCTAGACTATAAACTTCCTGAGGGAAGAACTGTRACCATTTATTTACTGTAACATCTCAGAACCCCTGATTATAGGGGACACTCAGCTAATATTTACTGAATTGAAAGAAGGAGGAGGAGGAGGAGGAACAACCTGACCTGCAACGTTTCCTTCACCTCAGTTGTCCAAGTCTCATAATTCTGGTGGGGCTGCTGACTAGCCTTCTAAATAGCCTTCTAAAGGACCAACTTTGTCCTCCATAATTCCTACTTGAGCAAGGGCATCCTACTTTGGACTGATGCTTAGCTTTTTGCCCTCACAGAAAGTGTTCTTGGATTCGCATTTATGCATCCGTGCTTCCTCAGCAAAATGAAACAGGTAATTTAAAAAATTTTTTCAACATAAAATAAAACTCACATGCATACTACCTTTAAGAGAATAACTTGAGAGGCTGGGGTTGTGGCTCAGTGGTAGAACTCTCGCCTAGCATGCATGAGGCGCTAGGTTCGATCCTCAGTACCACATAAAAATGAAATAAAAATCTTGTGTCCACTTAAAACTATAAAATGAATATTAAAAAGACAAGAGAATAACTTTAAATTTCACATGGAAYTTATTAGTTTGACAGGAAGAATTTTCTTCTGCTACTGTTTGATTATGAATCTCAGTGAGACAGCATATGCATTAATATATGTCTATATATTATATAATTACATAACTGTGCCTAAATGGGTTTTGTTTTTCCTCTTCCTCAAAACTATGTAGGTTCAGAGAAAACTAACAGTGACATCCCACATTCAGGCATGAAATCGTGTGTGTAAAATATAATCACGTGATAATAAAATATACATGTTACTAYAAATTCCTGTTATAAATTTGCTAATCTGAAGCTTCAGGGTGGCCATAACTGTAATTTTACTTCATATTTATTGAAATAGGGAAAATGCCATCACCCATTCTTGGAAGACAAGGTAACATTACATTTAAAACAACAAGGTTTTCTTCCCTCTGTAGTTAAGTTGATTTGCTCATTTCTAACTGTGTATAAATGTCAGGTATACTAAGCTGTTTTTTATTTGAAGCCAAAATATACAGCTCTTTCCAGAGCCCAAAACAAATTTAAAAGGTCTCTGTGGTTTGTGACTCGTCATCACACAGCTGTAAAAGAAGACAAGCCAGCAGGCTGGATCCCATCTCAAAACTTTCAAAGGTTAAAGACAATTACCTCTTCAAGGACATCAGCAAGCTTGCTAAGGATCTCTTCAGGAAGGCTCTGGAATGTTGGAACACTAAAAAACAAAACAGAGAATGATGCTGAACACATGAACAGCAACTTACTTTTAATAGATAACATTGCAATATATCTGAATAAAAATGCAAAAACCCTTCCTGGCAATCTGTAGCTTAAGATCAAAGCAATTGTTTAAGCATACTTTGCATCCAACAAAGAAAAAATTATGTTGTAAGATAAAGAACTTGCAATTTTTATGGAACCAAGTCCAAATCCCATTTGTTTATCTATGTGACTGTAAATGCCTTAGCTACAATGGAGAGACAACTATCCTCCTCCCCTTATCAGTCTGTTGTCACCAGATTCCTCCCTTTCCAGGTTCCCCTGCACATATCCTCTTCTTCAAGTCAACTCCTACCCTTTCTTTGGGACACAGTGTGATTGATGATACATTCAGACCTGCAAACATTCATTCTACAACTCTGAAACACTTCCCAGTCTCCCCAACCCTTCCCCAGCTAGGTCAAGTTCTATTTTGAGCTCATGAGCTTTTATTGTTTTCTCCAGTGCTGGGGATATAACCCAGGGTCTCAGACATGCTAGGCAAGGGCTTCACCACTGACCCATACCACCCTCGTCCTATTATGMACTCTTTTGTCCCTTACTAGAGCTATAATTAGATAATTAATCAAGTATTTGTTTGTTTTTGCATGTCTTTCCTGCTATAATTAAAACTCTACAAAGAACTGCCTTTGTTCAACTCCCTGTATTTTCAGTGATTGACAAATAGACTCAACAGCATATGTGAAGTTGAAAGCAGGGATGTGTGGATGCATCATAGGACAGTGATGACAGGACTGAGATGTCCCAACTTTAATTACAAAGGGCTAGAAAACAGAAGGGAGGAAAGATAGGGGAGTGTGTGTATTGGGTGGGGGCATTAATCAAAAACAAGCTACAAACCAAAAAGAACAAAAATTATTTTACATTTTGGAATATATGTTAAAAGCTCAAGTTCCATCAGGGCTAACCACCAAGACCATCACAGCCTATTTGCATATTAATTTTGCCAGACTTCTCTTTATGAATTGCCCTCCTAATCCAAATGTCTCTTGCTTTACAATATCCTGCCCTTCTTACCTGTAGCCAATGTAGGTTACAGTGTTTTCCTTCCCCAGATCAGTCTTCATAAAGTTCACTATGCATTTTTCCATATTTTGTCTATTTCCTAGTGGTCAGGCAGACTAATCCAGCCAGCCAGGCTCTATGCAGGGTCCCTGGGGAAGGCTGCAGGTAACACTATCTCTAGCCCAGTTTCTTTTGCTGGTACTTACAGAAACTTGTCCCAGGACCTTCTCCTTTCTGTTTTCTGGCTAGCATCTGTAATGGTCCTAATAAATTCTTTTATTTCAGTGATTTCCTTGATCTGAAGAGTTTTTGTTTAGGAATTGTTGTTAGGATAAGACAGGTAGAACAAAGACCCAGATTCCTAGTACCATTACCCATGTTAATTCCTTTCTGTTCACCCTGTTCTCTTATTTAACCCCTTGAAACAGCAAATGAAAATATTGAATGATGTCAAGTGTACAAACCAATAAAACTTCTTGGTTTGTAAACTAAAGCAATGATTTCAAATGAAACTCCACTGCAAAGTCAGTCAAACTAGGTTGTAGCACTAAATTCTCATTCTGCATCTCAGTGTTTGAAAAGACCATAAATGAGTGCATGTACATTTACATACCTGATATTTGACTTATAGCGTAATTCTCACTTGATTAGAATATTACAATAGAAGAAACTGTAACATATTGTTTTGATATAAGCATGCAAGTTTAGCTGTTAATTTGTCACTCTAATTCCTGTTACTTAGGGTAAAGCCTGTTGATGAAATCCCAAGGTTTTATGCAGTGGTGTAGCAATTCACCCAGGACCATCTGTTCTGCCAGATTTACTGCTGTGGTCTGAGACATGTGGTTTTTAATTTCCAGAAGGCAGTCCATTTTAGCAGCTGGATGGAATGCGTCACAGAAAGAGACAGCAGAAGACAGAGGAAGCTGTTTCCATGAGTTATGCAGGTTGAGAAACTGAGCCCTTCCTTGTTCTATTAATGAGGTCTATTTCAGTTTCTTCTGAGATGTTAGAAAAATTAGTTTCTATTCTATTGAGTATTTAAGGAAAAAAACAAGCTTTATAATATACTTCTTCAGATAGTCCTGTTATTTCTGTGCTAAACTTTTATTTCAATTTGTGTTGTATCTATGTGAAGCCATTCTGTAATATTTCCCTTGTCATGATGGATATTACCCATGAGGGGAAAAAAGGGTCTTTGCTTGGCCATCTAATACACTAGACAAAAACAAAAACATTAATATTTAGAAGGACATTTTAAATACAATATATTTTATGATTTTCAATCCATTTTAAATGCCTCAAAATATCGCAAAGTGTTTATTAACAAAAATAAAGGATATTTTTAAGAAGAAATACTTAAAAATATCAGTAACCACTGAAGCACTTCTGTACTTAACAAAAGGGGAAAAATCATTTGACAGAAAAAGAAGTATTTTCACTTTAATGTTACTCTTAAAACACTGTGGTAGCCATCTTTAAAATCCTAAGTTTCTAGTCTCAAAACATTAGCTAAGTCTGTCATGTAATTAATTTGCTAAGAAATACAAGTCTACTAGACGCTTGAATATCAAGAAAAAAATTGAACATGTTCATAGCTTGAAATTCTACTCATGAAATATTGTAGTTGAATTTTCCCAAATACTTCAAAAGATATTGAGTTTCCACTAATATGGACAAAGGAAACCTCAAGATAGAGTTATCTGATTTATATAACTTAAGACAAACAATAACAAAAACATACTTCCAGAGAAAATGTTTAAACACTAGAGAAAAATATTTTCTTTTATGCTCAAACTAATTTATTCCAACAATTTACATGCTAATTACATGAAATTCTTACAGATGCGTTCAAACGCTTYGGTTCACTAAGGACTTGCAATGACCTGAAGTAAGATAATTGCACTTAAATATAATATAATGGAGATGATTTAAAGTTTGGTAATTTTCCACTGTTTTTCTAATTAAATGAAGCAAGGACTTGGAATTTGTAATGACAGTAACAGAAAATGAGATTTGAGGGATTTTTATTTGCTGTTTATTGGGCTAAGGGTTTTATAGGTAATATTAGGTTTATTTTTACATCAGTCTTATCATATAGTCATTATTGTCATCCATTTTACAGATAAGACAATGCTGCCCTTGACTGTTTGCTTAAGGTCACACCATTTATCCCTGGTGAATCACCAGGTGAGGGGGTG